TTTGCAATCCCGAGAGCTGAGCGGCTGATGGAACACCAAAATTTACCGCTCATGAGCGACTGGTCAGCGGCGGCGGCGGTTGTTTCACATGTTTTATTTTTGTTCCAGAGTGGTGCCTCGAGTTAAGCGATTGCGCTTTTGCACCACTCTGCTATCACTTTTATGTTGCTACATTGTGCCATATGTTTCATTGATCATGCTTTATTTCTCTTGTATCTTTTGTTCCTTAATAAACGTTTTGTGTGTGTGTGTGTGTGTGTGTGTATGATGTGGCCAGATAAACGTAGGTGAGAAGGTTCTAGCATTCTAGTGTTTTTTTTTTGTGAAAACCATCACTGCAGACTTTGTGGGTGAAAAAATACAACCATTCTTAGAGGACCATTCGTCAAGTTTGTTAAGCACTGATTGCAGACGTGGAATGGAGTACTGCGAATCGGTATCAGTACACCATATTGCGCAATCGTCTGCAAACAGTGAGTGTTGTATGTCGGATGGAGTGTTGCCAAAAAGATCATTTATCATGATATTAAACAGCAGTGGAGACAAACAACTACCTTGTGGTAAACCATTTTCGAAAGAAAAAGTATTTGAAAAAATGGAGCGAAAACGTAACTGAAAACTGCGAGCGCCAGTGAGAAATCCAATCAAGTAGTGAGCGAGGTGTCCACGAATACCAAGTTTGTGAAGCTTAAGTATTAAGAATGGACGGAAAACCATGTCGTAAGCGCGAGTAATATCCAAGAAAACGGCAGTTGTGTGTGATTTATGTTTAAAACCTTTGCGTATGTCTGTTTCGAGCCGTATAATGTGATCCAGAGTGCTGTGATGTTTTCGGAACCCGCTTTGATACTTAGACAATAGCTGACTGCTTTCCAAAAACCATTCTAGACGCTTTCCGACCATGCGTTCGAATATTTTGCCGAAACAGCTTGTCAGAGAAATCGGGCGATAACTCCCTGGATCTTTTCTGTTTTTCCCAGGCTTCAGCAATGCTATAACTATAGCCTCCTTCCACTCTTCTGGAAAAACCTGTTTTTCCCATAAGTCGTTAAAAGTGTGTAAAATAAAATCGAAAGCGCTGTTTGGAAGATGTCGGAAGAACTGATAATGTAATTGATCAGGTCCGACAGATGTGTTCCCCGTCGATGCGATTGCATCTCGAAGCTCCGATGAAGTGAATAAAGTGTTATATTGTTCCGTATTGTCAGACATGAATGCATTTGGCGGAAGACGAACATGTCTTCGAGCATGTTCGAGAAATCCAGGTCGGTATTGCTGTGTTGAGCTATGCTGAGCTATGGTTTGGGCGATGGTATTTACTATGTTTTGTTGCTCTGAAATAGTCATGTTATTAACTTGTAAGATTGGAAGAGAAGGGAAGCATCTCTTACCCGATAGTGAGCGTACTAAATTCCATATTTTGCTTAACGGTGTGCGATAGTTAAGCTGGGTGAGGAAAGATTTCCAAGACGCTTTTTTTGTTTCTCGGATAATCTTTTTACACCTTGCTCTCTCTTTATTTCGGAGGATAAGTGTGGTGTTGTTTCTATGGCGTAAGTATAAACGAAAAGCTCGTTTACGTTTTGCTATTGCACGAGCTACATCTTGCGACCACCATGGAACTCGTTTACGATTTGATGCTGGATTCGTCTTCGGGATGGATCCTTCTGCCGCTGTTAATATGGTATCTGTGAGAAATTTAATGCCTTGTTCTGGAGCCTGAAAATGTTCGTGATCTATTTCGCAGAAGTTCTGGAACTTTTCCCAATCAGCTTTCTTCAGATTCCAACGAGGAAGAGAGCGGGGAACAACGTCAGCATCAGAGGAGAATGTTGTTTGTAACTGAATTGGATAATGATCACTATGATGGATATCATTATCAATGGACCAATCAAATAAAACACTTATTTGTGAAGAGCATATGGATAGGTCGATCGCCGATTCGCTATTATGAGATAGCGAGAAGAATGTGTTTTGTCCCTTGTTGAGAAGAACGAGCTGGTGATCATCAATAAATCGTTCGACGATATCACCCCGCTCGTCTGCTATTAACGCGTCACGACCCCAAAGCGGGTTATGCGCGTTAAAATCACCAAGCAGGAGAAAGGGGTGTTTGAATTGCGAAATAAGGTTGGTGAGGTGCCTATGCAAAGTACTATTATCTGTGTCTGGTGGAATATAAATAGAGCAAACGTCGATGTTTCTTCCGTTCATTTTTATTGTACAAGCTACAGCTTGTAATGGAGTGTTCAGTATTACTTGATCATGAACATAATCATTACAAATGTATAAAGCGGTGTCACCGTGGCGCCGCTCACCATCAGTCTCATCGTATCGGTACAGAGAGTAGTTAAATAAAGAAAAGTTGTAGGGGTCTGTTGGAAGAAGCCAAGTTTCTTGCAAAGCAATAATGATGGGCGCTAGAAGTAAAAAGAACATTTTGCTTTCGGCCCAGTTTGAAACTAGGCCTCGGCAGTTCCACTGGAGTAGGCTGTTTATTGTGTTTCTAAGAGAGAGTATTTGTTAGACACACCACGACGGGGCGAAGCCCAACTTGACGCACGGTTGTGGCCCATTGCTACTCTGATAGGTGGACGTGATGTGCGTGTGCCTGTAGACTGTCGATCATCTCCTGGGGGCTGGGGGCGGGGTCCTTTCGAGCGCTGGACTTTTGTCCAGGCTGCCGTGGAGCGAGCAGCTCCGGCAGAGGGCTTGTTCTGCTGAGCGATCTCTGGTGAAGCCTCAGGCTGTGACTCGGGAGGAGAGGAAGGCATCGGGTCACCAAAAATGGTCTCCGTCGCGTCGCTGGTGTTTGTGGATGTGGTCGTAGATGCAGTCAGGGGCTTCAGACACTGAAGAGGGGGGAGTGCTGAGATCGGTTCAGTCTGAGTGCTGCATGAGGTGGTCTCTGTACGGGCGGCCTTGGCATAAGACCGACCAGGAGCCGGAGTGGCTGTTTCGGCTTCCACACGGCGACGAGCGTCGGGGTACGAGCAGCCGGACTGAGCTTTGATCTCACAGATACGCTTTTCCTTCTTCCACGTGGGGCACTGTGAGGATGAGACCGAGTGATCGGGGCTACCACAGCTCAAGCAAGAGACTGGCTTAGTGCATTCGGAGTTCTCATGAGGAGCCTCACCACATCTCTGACAGCGAGCAGCCTGGCGACAAGTGGAGCTACCATGTCCAAATCGTTGGCACTTGAAGCATCGGAGTGGATTTGGGATGAACACCCGGACATCTTTTTTGAGCCAACCGATGGCTATCTTTTCGGGCAGGGTCGTGTTGTCGAAGGTGAGGACCAGCAAGCTGGTGTCCCGTCGCTGGCCATCACGGAAGGTAGTCAGTCGTCGGACGTGGGACACTCCCTCTCCTCTCAGCTCGGACAAGATCTCAGCTTCGGACATGTGGCGGAGTTCGGGGGCGAAAATCGTGCCTTTAGAGGAGTTGCGAGCCTGGTGGAGAGAGACTGTCACCTTCTGACCACAGAACATGGTTGTCTTCAGGAGTGCTTTTGTGTCCCTTCGATTGTGTGTTTTGATGACGAGAGTGCCGTTAGCTGGAGCTTCTATGTCTTGGCCATGCTGTCCACAGATAGCAGCGATCTGCTTCTGAGGCCAGAAAACGTTAATCTTCCGGAAAGAGAAGTCGCTATCGGTAGCCTTAACAACCAGAAAGGAGCCGTCGAGAGACAAGTACGGTTCGAGTGGAGAGCGATCAACCGAATCACAGGCAGGTGCGTTGGCCAAGTTCGTGCGCGGGTCAGAGCTCCGGGAGTGGTCGGTGGACGGGCGAGGGTCATGGCTCCGGGCGAGGTCGGTAGACGAGCGAGGGTCAGAGTGCCGGGCGGGGTCAGAGGTCAGGTCAGCGGTCAGGGCGTGGTCAGTGGACGAGCGAGGGTCGGTACCGGGTAGATCAGTCGAAGGGTGGGTAGAGGAGGGAGGGTTGACGGTTGGGCGGGAGTCGGTATCCATGGCAGAGGGAGGAGTCGGATTCAGAGGGGAGTCAGAGTCGGAATCGGATAAGGAGTCGGATAGCGGGCGCTGACGGCGCCGCTTCCCCATCGTGGGGCAACTGGATGCGGTTGTGGGCAGTGAAGGAGAGTGGGTGGAACAACTGGTAAAAGGTTGGATGTGAGGGGTGGGGATGCGCGTAGGAGAGCTCTCAGAACAAACCCGTGAAATGCCAACTGCCGAAGCAAATTAACGATCACCTTAGCCTGTGTTGGTTACAGCCACCGATTTTTCAAATATATCCTATATAGACCGAGGAGTTTCTTCCTCCAAGCAGACGTTAATTAGCTATGCTTCAGCTTGCACTTGATGTAATCAGCGCATATTGCTTTGGACAATTTATCATGTATCGACTCCCTCGGCTGTATTGTGCATTTTGACATTTCTCAAAACACTTTGACAAATTTTTACAAAAACCCAGCATAAAAGTCGGTGCTCGAAAAACGCCCTCTGTTATCCCCATCTGAAGCTAAGGTTCAGAGGTCGCTCACTGGTGGATGGCACGGTGTATTTGTGTAAGGGTACACGTCTACCATATCCGACAACACATGATTTCGAGATGCATTACATTCGTCCAGCGTGCTTGGCACGAGAAAAGTGTGTCATTATTCTGTTTTCTGTGTTATCAAACGTGTCGAAGGTCCCGCCAAGCGTGAAAATACTCAGCCTTATTGTGTTTTGGGTGCGATTAACACATGACTGATGTGTTACCAGTACAGAACATGCCCTCACTGTGTCGATTTGTTTTCAGTGTACTGGCCCTCTGACGGCTGCTGGTGTCGGTCTGGCGGTGACCACTGGTGCTGGTGTCGGTCCCTCGGTAACCGCTAGTGCCCTGGTGCCGGCTACTGGTGTCGATACCGCAGTGACCGCTGTTGCCCTGTTGCCGATCCCGCGGTGACCTCGGGTAGTGTTGCCGGTCCCGCGGTGACCGCTGGTGCCCTGTTGTCGATCCCGCGGTGACCTCTGGTGCCCTGGTGTCGGCAGGCGAGCGGTGCGCGCCACGCTGGTGCTGGTGCCGCTGTTCGGCCTGCACCTGATGGTGACCATCTACCGTCCGTCGGACGGTGGCTGCGTCTGGATGGAGATCTACTACTACTGCGACTACCTGCTCGACGGACTCCAGGGCGCCATGGTGGCGCTCATCTTCTGCTACCTCAACGGCGAGGTCAGTGCTGCACCGCTGTGTCAGCGGCGAGGTCAGTGCCTACTCACTGTCTCAGCGGCGAGGTCAGTGATGCACCATTGCTCAGTGCCTTCCCGCTGTTTCAATGGCGAGGTCAGTAATGCACCGCTGACCCAAAGGCGAGTGCCTTCCCACTGTCTCAACAGTTAGTTCAGTGCTGCTGCTGCCCCAAAGGAGGTTAGTGCTGCGCCTGATTAGTGGGGCTTACATTCAAACTTACATACATGTAGCTCAACGAAAGGTTAAACGAAAGGACCGACAGCCTTCCCAGTCATTCATAGTACCTACGTTGCCTCAGCAAAAGGTGAGGACCGGCCGGGCCTGGAACAGATGATCACTGGTGAGTGGTGGGTGTCTCGTACTAAAAGGTGAGCGCCTGTCTGATCCCCCTGATCGGCGGGGCGAGGATATTTGACAACAGAACACAGGTGATTACGCAGTGTTGTACGGTCCAACACAGAGTGAACATTATTCCATCCTTCAGTTCAGATGAAAAGCGCCAAGTGTAGTGGCGAGCTGGTCTATTCGTTAAGATGCGCTGCTTAGTTACCAATCAGTTTAACTCTAAAGAGATTAGTTTCTCGACTGCCGTTCCAGTAAATTAGATGACACGTGATGTGTGACTGTTCGAGTATAGATGCTCAGCTGAGTGTAGGAACATTAACCCGCGCCCTGGTGTGGGTCTGAGCCACCTTCGCCCTGGTGGGGGGGGCCAAAATGACCCCCCCCGTCTAACTCGAAAACGAAGAGGGCTAGGAAGACGCGGAAAAAAGCAAACGAAAGCCCATAACAAGTACGTTCGAAAGTATTTCGGTCATTTTTTCGCTAAGGTCAATATTGAGGTCGCTAGAGGTCATCATAGGTCAAATTTCAGTGTTTTCGGTGTTGCCGGACATATTCCGCTGTAGCTCGGAAACTAGAAGAGCTAGAGAGCCGCGGAAAAAAGCAATCGATAGCTCTTTTCAAGCTCTTTCGCCAAGGTTCGTCAGATTTGACCTCAGCTCAACGGTTTGGCCTACAGAGGTCATGCAAGGTCAACTTGGCAAATTTCGTTGAAAATGTTTTTAACTATAGCATGCATTCACGAGAAAATAGAGAAACGATTCATGCACCATCGTGCTTGGCTCGTCGAGACGCGTCGAATGATATATAGTTTGACCTCGAAAGGTCATTTTGAAAATTTGACCTCAGGTCAAGGTCATGACCTTACCGAAATAGGTCATGCTGCATATCATTCGATCCGCATTGACGAGACAAACACGATAAACGTCGAACGGAGTCTCTATCTCTATTCAATAACAAGTAAGTGCAGAAAAACCGCTGGTGACCTCTGGTGACCAGGGAGATGACCTAGCGTGACCTCAGCGAGGTCACAAGCAAATGGTTTCACATGGGCTGTGATTTGCTGACCCAAGACACTTCAATAACGAAATATAGGAACAATCACGCCCGATTTAGCTGAAAAACAACTACTTTTCGATTCTCCCATTGACTTATAATGGGGAGCAGCGATGACCTGACCTGACCTTAGGTCACATTTATAAAAAATCCGAGATAGCCATTTTGTAGAGCTGGGTGACATCTTCAAGTACTGTAAATTTTACATCGATCGGATAAAAGCTGTGCCTTTGAGAGAGCTTTGAACTTTTTTAGAGGTGGTGTCAGTTTTGGTGACCTTGTGACCTGACCTGACCTGACCCGAACCCCCAAAAAAAGGACATGATGTAAAAATGTTGAATAAACAGCTATACAAAGTTTCAGGGCGCTAACTCAAGTGGTTTCTGAGTTATCGCTGAAAAACCACAGGGGGGGCCAAAATGCCCCCCCCCCCCACCAGGGCGAAGGTTAAGTGGTGAAAAACAATGCTGATCATAAATATTTCTAATGACGTATCACACCTCAACACTGCAAACAGCAATATAAAGGAGAACAAATGCTTGAGTTGGCAGTATCAGCAGAAACTATGCAAACTCCTTTCTTCATTTTTTTATGATAATTCATGATAACCGCTTCCATGACGGCTATCTGGTACATATTTAGTTCATATTTGGCGTAGATTTGGTGCAGCTTGGGTCAAATTGGGTCATTGGGTCAATTAGAAGCTATCAAATTGGGTTGCACAGTTGCTTATATACCCGAGTTTTCAAAGTATCAGATATTCTTTTCTAGTAAAACGATGAAACTGCACGATATTAACCCTCGCCCCGTTGGGGGGGGGGGCATTTTAGCCCCCCCCCCTGTGGTTTTTCCTGAATAGCAAGAAAACGGCGGCGCGCAGCGCCGCCAAATTTTCAGTACCTTCCCGGGCATCAATTTGACACCTTTACACCAAATCTCAAGTCTTAGGTCACCTTAGGTCAGGAGTTATTGAGGTCAAACTGAGGTCATGTTCGAGCAAAAATGAGCAAAAAACATGCAATCTTGAAACGCTCACCAAATCTACAGTTATCAAGCAATTTCAAAGTTCTTTATATGGTCTAGTAGACAAAAAGCGGCGCTACAAAACTGCTATCTCGGATTTTCAAAATTTTGGGTTTTTGACCCCAAAAAATTCAAAAAGTTGATTTTTTTTAGAAAAACTAAAAAAATCCAAAATTTTTCCGAATTACGAAAAACCGGAATATATGTGATAGTCCCTGCGCTCTTCTATATACATACCATATTTCAGATCGATATCTCGTTTTTTGGCCAAGTTATAGCGAAAAAACTGTTCAAAAATGATGACGTCAAATTTTTGAACTCAATTTTTAGCGAATCTAGACCACGTACGGCAAAACAAAGACCACCGTTGAACTCCCCGTGACGAGCTGCATCGATTCGATGCCCATTTTATGCAAAAATATTAACTTTGAAATTTGACCTAATTTGACCTGACCTTGACCTGACCTTGACTTGACCTTGACCAAAACGTGACCTAAGCTGGCCCCAAAGGCTGCCTGACCCACATAATCGCATTCGTCATGTAAAATGGACCATAAAACATGTATCACACGACACTTTCATATTGTGACCCCCCCGTGACCTGACCTCTGTGACCTGACCTGGGATCAGTGGCCTCAAATAGCAAAATAAGTGTTTGAAGAACATTTCCCCATCGATGATTCTCAATGAAATGCATTTTACTCGATTTTACAACGCATTTCTTGAAATGCCTGTAAACGGTGAAAATTGGACCTTTGACCTGACCTGTGACGTCATCGGTTTGACCTAGGTCAATAAAATTGGGTCACAAGGTAGTTCCCTGATAGGACTATCCAACACCGTTTGCCGCTTGTCGCTAGGTTGCGTGGTTCTCGAGATCTTAGGGGGGGCAAAATGCCCCCCCCCCCCAACGGGGCGCGTTGCTCGGCAGAGCCCAACGGGGCGCAGGTTAATATATTCGCCAGGTAACTCGTCTTGAAAACGACTTGTAGAAAGAATGATATCCTAAACACATAACCATAAACGCTTTTTCACACTAAAGTGGCTGGGTTTATCAAACGGCTAGATATCTCTCAGGCGATTGAATGCTATGAAAGCTGCCGTTCTCCGTGACCCTTGTTATGTAATGACGTGTTTTGAATGGACGGATGACGGAGCAGAGGCCGTGCTACACAGTGTCTGCTTGTAATCCCATGTTCTCCAACGTCTGACTGGGAGAATTCTAGATTTTCTAGATATTTATCAGCTAAAGTTAAGCTCTTAATTAAGGATGCGGTCTGTCCCAGCCACCACACTGTATTCCAGCTTGCTGCGGCTGCTCACACCAACCGCAAACCGGATCCCGTTAGTAGGCTGTCAATGTTCAGTTTCGATTGACTTGTATTGGGGCTTCCTCACCTCTAATTTGGCACCCTGCCAACGGAGCTTACGGATTGTGTGAACTGAACCAAAGTAAGCGTCACCTAAAAAACGTCCTTCAACTTATCATTATTATAACAGCGTGCCTCAAAGTTTCCCGATTTTAAAAACTAGGCTGGAGGGTGACAGTCTTCGACCCCGGACTCTACCGGCGTCGGTAGCCAGGATAAAAACCCGTCCATGAGATCGCCCTCCGCGATATCTGTGTCAGAAGTCTACAGTAACGGATCGACAAACCAAGGTCAACACTGCCGGCTACCTTGTCTTCAAACACATCGGGAAGAAAAATGATCTGAGGAGCTTTGTAAAGCTGACCAGGCTCCAGCGACTTCACCATTGCGGTCGTTACCCCCGTATCGAAGATAAATAACTGGTTTGTATTCACTTCGACCTGCTCCTAACATCTGAGAACCGGTCAGATCAAATGCTTATGATTTTATTTGTGGAAATAAGTTAATTATTGACCGAGTCGTTTCGGAAGATCTTGCCACGCCGGACGCGTGGTAGTTATGTGAAAGAAAATATGCGAAGAAATAGAGAAACTGCATTGTTGATTGTAATTATAAGTTGAACGGAAACGGGACATTTGGTTGACACTATAGCATGAGGTGAAAGGTGTTTTTTTGTTATCAGCGCTGTTAGCGGGTGTGAATGCCATTGATTCATCGGGAGAACGATAGTTAACCTAACAACCAAAATGCTTCATTTGTGAGCTATAGCATTATTCGCACCTATTGTTAGGATTTTTGTTGCTACCTCGCGCACAGTGCAAACATGAGTGAACAATACTGATACAGGAAACAGGTCTGCTGACGTCCTGTTGCAGGCTGCGGGATGGGACCGATGCGGCATGATGATTGTGTGCAAGGGACGGGCTCCGGCATGCAGGGAGTTCAAAGGGTCCGTGATAAAATCGGCTTAGCGAATGGTGTGTCGCGTGGTTTGAGGTGGTGACGACTGCTGGCGACTGTTGGTGACTGGTGCGGCTGGCTGGTGGCCGTGGCGCCGGTGGTGACTGGTGACTGCCCGCCCGCTGACTGCAGATTGCGCTGCTGGTGCACCGCTCGGCCCTGGCGCTGGCCGGTCACCGGTGGGCCGGCCGCGGCGCCGGCGCCGTGCCTCTGAGCGCACTGGCCGGCCCCGGGCCGCCCCCCACCCGCCTAGGTAGGTGCAGGCAACGCTGGCTGCCCTGGCCGGCCCCATCCGCCGCGCCGTCTCCACTGAGCTGGCACAGCTTCTGCGCTGCACATGGCTGCTTGTCGGCGGGCGGCCGGCCGGCCGCCGGACCTGGTGGAAGGTCGCGGCGGCGGCCGCCGCCCCCTCGGTGTCCGCTCAGCTGTTGTCAGTGCTGTGTCCCGGCGACCGGACCTCGGGAGATGCCGCCCAATTTGGGACGGCCCGGTGCTGTTTTCATCGTAAACTAACTAACCGGCGTAATCGGATCATCGTGCCATCGGCTCGGAAAAGGCCAATCAATCCCTGGTGTTTTTCAGCGCCGCCCTCTTTAAAATTAAACCGCGCCGTGTTGGCGGTAAAAAGGTTTTGATAAAATCACCAAAGTTTCAGATGTGGCAGCCATGAACTTTCAGTTATTTTTTATCGTTGTTTCGAAAAGTATGATCGCTAAAAATATCTGAAATTCATATAGAATATTTTTACGTTGGTGCTCATCCTCTAATTCGGCTCTTGGGCCACGTTGAAAGAAGTACCAGGCGCCATTTAATTGCTCATCAAAACTGAAAGTTTTTTTATGAATTGTTCAAGTGATCTTATGAAACGGTCGTTGTAATAAGGCCGATGCATTAATTCTTTGAAGAGACGCTAGGTTTTTACTGAAAGTCTTGCTGTAAGAAGAAATCGTTTATAACTGAAAATGCGAATTTTATTAAAACCATTCTAAAATGTATTTTTCGAGTCATTGCGGTACTAAATGTCTCCAATGTCTTACCTACTGTAATATGGAGTACTTCTTCGGCGTGGGGTGATGAAGCCATCAAGTAGCACTCTTGAGACAGAGCCAAACACAATAGACTGTTCTATTGAAGGATTAAAACAGTGAGAAATCATACGTTGTGACTGAAGAAAAGACTGTTCAGCTGCTGCACTCCTGTAACTGCTCTAATCCGCTCAAAACTTTTGTGAAAAGTACGATTTTGTGCAATTCGTTTGGTGCCATTACCAAATGACACTTTTTAACAATGCGACAATTGTTAATAACTTGGAAAGCTGCCAAAAGCTCAAAACACATTGAAGTGATTATTTTAGGTAATCTAAAAAAGATTGTTTTTAATAAAGCGAGAATATTCTCTGACTTTACCTTACTCATTTGGTATCCATTTTTATTATTTTTTCTTTATTAATTATACATTTTTCCTCACGTTTAAAGGAAATAAATCAATTTTTGCTGCTTCCTTTCGACATTAGCAAAATGTCACTATTCATATACTTGTACAATCAGAATTATAACAATGCTAAAAATAATCGTAAAGCCATTGTAAAGTATAATTTCTTATTTAAAAATTAGATTCGATAAAAATCTAATTATAAATTAGAGTCGTCTTTCAACGTCATCGCCTATCCATATAGTAAACAATTTTCAAAAGACACCGTTTGCTTTGCGAACACAAGTACATTTGGAGGCAAACTTACCGTTTGATATAGGCATAGCTGCCATGTAGCAACTGTAACGACCCACAGTTAATCAGCACTACAAAGTGATTTTAAATTATTTTTACAAGATGGGATAAAATCAGTACAAATGTACAATGGCACTGAGCAAATTCCTTATAAAAGTGACATGTGGTGGTTGAAGTCAGCAAAATGAATGGCTGTTCCTTATACAGCAAATACGGTTGGGATAGCACTCTGTAGGCATTTTTCAGATGGTGACCTTTGTTCCTATGCCGACGTTGGCATTTTGTATCGTATTAGCGGGAGGTTTGCCAGTTGCAACAGCTTCTCAAAAATCGAGTGCGACGAGGTTAGTGTGGTCCAAGCTTCTGAAATGCAAGATTATCGCGTTATGCATGCACAATATATTGTATGTCCAAGTGTCGTAAAATAAAAGGTTGTTTTCCATTGATGAATTTTTACGTCACGTTTGCCTAGTTGGTTGCTGAATAGCTGATGAATGGCGTGCGTTGTATTTTTGCATTTAGAAAAGCCTGTCCGTGAGTTATAGTATTAATGTGGTTTTTAGTTGGGCTGCACGCTGCGCGGGCTTGGTGGCTCTCACAATCATTGCGAGTTTGATGTCGAGTGTGTAGACTGTAGAAGGTAGATCGTGTTCTTGGAACTATACCGTTTATACGTGAGCGAGAGGACCTGATTGATGCTGGAGTGAATGGTTTATATTTGTAGCTCTTAAACTGTTTTACTTTCCTTCGAAAAGTTATTCTGGACAGCTCAGTTATTAGCAAATGTTGAACGATTGTCGATGTCCATTTGCATTACTTGTTAGCATATGATTCGTATTCATTGCTAAGGACAGTGGCCCTAAAGCCTGTTCTTTTGATTTCATTTTAATTGAGAACTTCATGATAAATTCATGATAGAGAAAGTCCTAGGTCAGTTCCTGGAAAATGCTAGATAAAAACACCTCAACCAACGGCAGGGTGGTTATGGTGTATCTATCTTACATTATGAATTTATTAATGAAGTCCTATGGTCACTTGGAGTACATATGTGTTTCGTGCAGTCGTTTTAGCAAGCTTTCTCATAGATACATGTATAATGTATTGTATATTTCGTCGTGACTTTATTGCATTGTATATGTGCATTGTGTATTGTCTATTGTGTATGTAGTAGGCCATTTTTGAATACATATTCGGTTATATGTTTGCACAAAGTTTCATACCTAATGGATGTATCATGTAACCATCTGAGAATGCCAAGAATATATCGAAGCGTAGCGCCGCAGATTCAAATTTGATGGAATACATATGTACAGAAACTAATTAATCTGAATATAGTCAACCTTCTAAATGCATCAAAACACAATGCAGCCATGCCGTCCCTGAAAATTAGCGGCTATTGTTTCTTTGTTGCTGTTGTTATGTGAAGTTTTAATAGGTTTTCTCTATTTCCGCTTATAAAATAGTCCGTGCCTTTGTATATCATCGTGTGTGTTGCTCAAACGTCTACTCGGTCTACTAATGCACATTTTTTATTATTCTGTTTTTTTTTTCTCGATTGTTGTAATTAATTTGTTTCATATTTCAAGTCCATATCTCAATTTTCCCATTTTACATGTCAATATTTTAAGTCCACAAGTCTACAATTCGGTCTATACCGATTTAGTATAAAACTTCTGTACACCAGATCTAAGTGTTACTTATCGTCTATACTCTATATCAATGGCACATAAGTCAATTCGGTGTCGTTCACATCTCCCTACACGTATTCCTTGCCAAAATGTTAGGCAATGCTGCCCGCTATCTCTCAACCCATGACCCTGTGTCTCTCATCCCGTCACCCTGTGTCTCACCCGTGATCCTGTCTCACCCGTGATCCTGTCTCACCCGTGATCTTGTCTCACCCGTGATCTTGTCTCATCCCGTGCCCTTGTGTCTCTCATCCCGTGACTCTGTGTCTCTCATAGTCTCATACCGTGCCCCGGTGTCTCAGCCGGCGTGATCCTATCTCATCCCGTCACCCTGTGTCTCACCCCTAATCCTGTCTCAGACCGTGGATCTGTGTCTCTCAGCCCGTGGTGACCCTGTGTCTCAGCCCGTGACCCTGTGTCTCAGCCCATGGCCCTGTGTCTCAGTCCGTGACCCCATGTCTCCCCCGCTGTGTCCCCAGGTGCAGAACCTACTGCGCCGCACCTACGGCCATCACCTGAGTCTGCATTCGACGGCGTTTCGCACGGGTCACCGCAGCTCGTCGCTGTCGGGCCGCTCTCAGAACACGATGCACACCATGGTTGGCCTGGACAACACGACCAGCGCCACGCTGGAGCACGCCGACTGCCCTGGCGGCGCGCCGCTGCTCCACCGGCCCCATACCGGCAGCTCGGAGAAGGAGGAGCGCCTGTAGCTGCGGCCGGCCTCGGAGCGATCGCAGCGACATCTGTAATACAGGAGAGGTGACGTAGAGCGACACCTGGAGGGTGGTGATGAGAGACGCAGTGAGGTGCTCGTGGGTAATATCGACTAGTCCGATTATCAGGAAACATTCGAGAACTGAGACTCAGTGGTTTTGCGAGACATTGTCAGATGAATATGTGTCATAAACATGATATTCGTTCAATGTGAGCTGTGTACTATTGATGTGCGACTTTTTGTCGCCAGGTAGAGTGTCATCGTTTAGGGTTAGTGGTCGGAGCCACCAAGTGGCGGCGTTACCTGTTATTTTTTTTTTTTTTGTGAGTAGCGAGAGATTGACCGAGTGAATGATGGAGCAGCGACGTGCAGTATGCGCAGTTGTACGCTAGTCCGTGTTGAATGGTGCTGCTGGTGTATGTTAACATCGTGACACATCCTGCGGGTGATTGGTGTCGGAGTAAATGCCGTTTCTGTAGCTGCTCAGCATTGTGGCCGCAGCTGCCCGGCGGGGACCTTTACCTGACGGCCCCTGCTGTTTCATGTGACTCGGCTATCATGTGGTCGTGGCGTCTGATGCCGCTTGTCCACGGCTCCCTTGTGTCCAGAATAGTACCTTATGTGCTGCAGGCCCAGCTTGTCGGCAGGTGTCCGTGACCGTGGATACCGTGTGTCGGCAGGTGTCATGTGTCCGTGGATACCGTGTGTGGGCAGCTGCCATGTGGGCGTGGATACCGTGTGTCCGCAGCTGCCATATGTCGACAGCTGCTATATGTCGGCAACTGTCATATGTCGGCAGCTGTCATATGTCGGCAGCTGCCATATGTCGACAGCTGAAATTATGGCATGTCGTGCCCGCTGACCTGGTATTGGGGTGCTTCCCGGCCCGTATGCCGCTATTGCTGGTGTTACACCTTTTTACGCACATATATTGGCACAGTGCATGACAGTGCATGACATTGCAACTGGTGCAGAGTTTCGCCCGCATGACAGCGTATATTATTTTATCATATTAGGCGTGTAATATAGTACATTTACACTGGTCAATTTTATGAGTAACGCATGACTTAATGCATCATCGAATTAAGTACCCGTAATGCTATCGATATATTGCAGGCTCTTTAATATAGAAAGTTTGTATCTCAAAAAGTTCTAAAAGTTGCGTTAGTCTTATGCGCTCTGCTCCATCTGGAAGGTTTTACAAATATGGGTTACATTTTTTCGTGAACTCACCATGCCGAACGGTCGAAATTATTTGCACTTTTTAACTGTTTGTCTACCGAGAAGACGCAATCTATGCCAAAGCCAGAAATGAGAATGATGTTTCTTTAAGAAGTGCACTGTTCCGCCTGTATGGAGCGTAAAAAGGTGTAACGGTTTGTTAGCAGGCTGGGTGCGCACCGCAAGAGTCTTATAAGGTGGTTGTACCCAAAGCTGTTCCCTATATTTATTTATTTATTTATTTATTAAACATCATCAGATCGATCCACTATAAGGCAGGGCTTTTCTCCGATCATCGTCATAACAGTACGAAACACATGAAGATGACAAGTAAACTAAGATCACAGTAGTGCGATACAATGACAATGACAGTAGGTAAATATCCTACCCGACGGTACCACTCAGTCGCAGCACGTTCCTGATCTTGGACTTGAACACTGACTTACTAAGGCCAGCAAAGCCATTGTTCAACGCTGTTCGGTTGTACAGGGACGCAGCACGGTACGTAAATCGACGCTTGCCATGGTTGTTTCTTACACGTGACAGAGCTAATAGGTGTGATTGTCTAGTATCCCGACATACGTGTTCGTGGTTGTAAGAGAGATAACAGCGTAAAAGATGAGGCTTTCCAGATGTAAGAATGCTATGGATCAGTGACAGGTCGGCATGTGCTATAAAATCAGCAGCAGGCAGCCACGCAAGTTCCTCGAGCACATCAGAAATGTGCTCGAATTTCCGTCTCCCGGAAATAACTCGGGCTGAAAAGTTGAAGACCTTCTGCAGCCTGGCTATGGCCGTGCGATTGGCGCTACCGAAGACGGGCGCACAGTAACGTATGTGTGAGAAAACGAGAGAATCGACAAGGCGAGGTAAAACAGAGTGTGGAATGATATGTCTGATGTGCATGAGACCGATAAGAATGCCGAAACAGCGGTTGATGATGGTGTTGATATGTGATTCCCAAGAAAGTTCAGAGTCCATGACAACTCCTAAGTTCTTCACTGTGCTTGACAGAGGAAGTGTTTGACCCATAAACTCGATCTGAGGTGGTTCTCCGATCTGAGACAGCTGGCGACGGTCGCCACACATGAGCAGCTCCGTCTTGCTGGCGTTCACCATCATGCCGTGCTGGGAAAACCATGTACACAGCACGTCTAACAAGCTCTCCAGAGACAGCTTCAGATCGGGTAGTCTGCTGCGAGGACCCGTGATGGCCACCTGGGTGTCGTCAGCATAACGAACTGAGAAGGTGTGGAAGTCGTTGATGGTGGATGGTATGTAGCAGCTGATGTTGTTGCTGACGATGTTGAATAACAGGGGCCCAAGGCAGGAGCCCTGGAATGTGCCGATGTCAATGGGTAGGGGGTCCGAGAAAGTGTCTCCCAGCCGTACGCGCTGTGTGTGGCCTGACAAATAACTCCTGATCCATCCGGTTGAAATCTGGAGCTGTTCTAGGCTAGTCAGCAGTGTATCGTGGTCTACGACATCAAAACAACGGCTGAGGTCGATTAGTGCGAGAAGAGTTACCTGGGACTGGTCCATGCCGTCCAGGATTTGGTCAGTCATGGATAAAAGAGCTGTGGTTGTGGAATGATCTGACATAAAACCATGCTGTTCCGGACTAAAAAGGCAGTGATGTTCAAGGTAAGTACTGATCTGATGATGAACTAACTTCTCGATGAGTTTGCACACAGTTGGCACATTGGTGATAGGTCGAAAGTTCGATGTCAGTGACGGGTCTCCTCTCTTATGGAGAGGGATAACAACCGCTCGCTTCCAGCTAGCGGGAACGTGCTCTGTGACTAGACTAGTATTGATGATTCGTAGTAAATGGCGGCCGATGTGGTTAAAACACAGCTTTAAAATCCTAACTGGTATGTCACCCGGCACGCATGTGTCCCTATCCGGCATACTAAGGATCACTCTGTGGAGCTGGTCAAGCGTGACTGGTATGATGTGTAGAGCCCCTGTATGGATGCGAGGGAGCCTAACATCCAGCGGCTGGCGACCAGAACGTTCAAACTCTGTCACCACTGCGTCACGAGTAGACCTGCCTATAGAACAGAAGTAGTTGTTAAGCTCTGAGGCAGTTAAGCTGACAGGAGATACTGAGGGACCGCGCTCGGGTGCAATAACTGACTTCAGTTGCCTAAATAGACCAGAGGCAGGGCTATTACGAACACGTTCTGCGATGTCATCTCTCCTATCCTTACGAATTGCTCGCTTCGTCAACACATTCAGCCTCTGATATGCGTCAGTGTCACGATTGAGAAGGGCCTCTCTGCGCTGAGCCATAAGCTCCTGCGTATCCTGGCTGACAGATGGAGGCACGGGGTTGTGAACCTTAAACTTACGCATTGGAACTATATGTATATGGTAATGTGTCAGACCGTATACGAGTCGTATTGATGTTGAAACTGTCATGAGCAGTGTGTGAGCGAGCTTATGAAAGGCAATGCGCATCGTCATTTATTTGTACCGTGCTTCACTGCAGAGTGCAGGCACTGATGTTAAACGTGTGAAAATGACCGCTTTTCCCTCTTGAAACATGACGTATTTATTACTTTCTCGTCTTTACATGGCCAGTGACGGCAGGTGATCGGTGTCCTACTTAGTTAGCTGTGATTCACTCATGAAACTGCCAAAAGACTAGAACTGGGTAGTAGTAAGGGCGGCTCACAGGCTCGACATGCCCCGCCGCATGAAACAAAACAGAAAACGTTCTCAACTGTGAAACCCAGAAATGCATACTCGTACAAACCGTGAAATGGTATAAAAGACATGCGAATCGCAAACAATTTGGAAAACGATAAACATCAACACATGCCTCATTTTTCGTGCTTGTCTCCTGCGGCAACTTGTTCCGATTCCTGACTTGCATTGCTGGAGGTGCGGTGCGATGTGTGTCTGTGTGGCGACATCACTGCGGGACGACCCGTTCCGTAGTTCCTCCAAAACCGGGGTCAGCAGCACTGCTCGTAACGCGTCCAGGCAACGTTCGAAAATCATCTTCATGAGGCCCTGTTACGACTGTCTTGCTCAATGTTTGCCAGTGTCTGAGTGCCCTGGCTCATGAGTCTGTGCAGAAGCAGTTCCATTAGCAGAACGGCCACGCTGGTCACTAGTCCAAGAGGAATAATACTGATAACGGGCATCAGATCATTGAAAGACAGCTCTGTGTAACGGTTCAGTGGCTTACACGCATCTTGATGTTGCCTTAGAACAAGGGTTTTCATTCGCGAGAGTAAACCTGTCTGATGTAGCTTAAGCAGGACTTTGGTGATAGATCTTTTAAGAGCTCTGTTTCCTTTTCGGATCGCCATGTAGAGTGAAGTAGGCTTGATCGGAATGCTCTGTAAAGGGACAAAGTTGCAGGACTCCTCACCAAGGAAGTAATGCAAAGTGTTCAAATCAGCAAATGCCATGACTTTTGGTTTGAAAGCATACATCATGCTTTCTTTTGTTCTTTGTAGCGCAATGATCCTGTCGCCGGCTACAGAACGTCGATACAACTCCTGTTCGTACACATCAGTGCTAGACCTAAGCTCATTCAGAATCCGCGAGCCTGGATGCATGGCCAGTGTCCAGTCAGGTCGCTGGACGAACTCGCGTATGCTGCTGATGGGTCGACCGACAGGTCGAACTGCCAGAAATGACATCAGATTGGCCGTGTAGTTGATGTAAATCAGGATTCCCATCACCCAGCCGAAGATGGTTGCGGTACGGCCGGCCAGCGACAGCGGCGTCCTGTCCCAGCCCTGGCCTAGCACGGTCATGGCGCCGGCCAGCAGACACGAACCCCATCCCATGTCGCGCGCCAGCCGGCCGTCCTCGGCTCTGGCGCTGTTGAACCGCAGCGAGAGGCGCAGCACCAGCGAGAGCGCCAGCAGCGCGGCGGCCAGCGTCCACCAGACGTCGGCGCCCAGCGGCCGCAGCAGGTTGGCGAACATCACTGGGGACAGAGGCGGCGTCACTGCCGTGTCGCGTCGCACCAGGAACGTGGCAATCTCAGCATCCATGGGCACGCCGTCCATGAAGTCGACCACAGCGGCTCGATCCGGTGTGTAGGTCAGCCGGTTGAGTGCC